ATAGTTTAGATTGCTAATGCAAGAATTAACTCTTAGTGTGGAGTAAAAGTACTTTACAACCTAAACCCTTGGGTAGCTGAGGGATATCTTTTGCTGCATTGGGATCACAGTGAAATACAACTAAGGGAAATGTGACATTATGTACCAGTACAGCACATTTTAGAGAGGGAAGAGAAATGAATTTATCTGTGAATTCCTCCAAAAATCCCGTCTGTTGAGATTGTTTCTGATTTCTGCAGAGAAACATTATCCCTCTTATTGCCTCTTCCAATATTTTACTGTCTTCCTTACCAAGTCCTTGTTTCTTTACCTCCCACTTTTCTCTTTCCTTCCTTAACTGTTTTTCTCATGCCCAATTCCAATACCCTGTTTCTTCCCTTACTTTCTATTTCTTGAGAGGCCAGGCTTCTGTTAGTTACTTTTGAAGTTCTGCCCTGAGAAGCAGAAAAGGATGTAGTGAGGTGGCAGGGAGAGAACACCACTAAATGGAAAAGTCAGGAGGTCCTCACACTTGTTTTTCCCTCTGTAATGCGGGGAAAGCCCTGTTCTGTTTGGAGAAAACAGTTTGTCCTCAAACTTCCTGGAAAAGAAAGTGGTCAATGATGCACAGATTTTGGTAAATAATACTTTATTGTTCAATAAAGTCAGGTTTTGCATTCTTAATTTTTTAATAGGTATGGCTGCTATTTTGGTTTGTATGAAAGTTCCACACTTGCCATTCCCAAGGGGATGCTTCAAACACACACACACATACACACACGAATTTGCTTCTGACTTAATTAAGACCATGGCTCTCATTTCTTCTCTATGCCCAGCACACAGCAGGGACAGAACAAAAGCCAACATTCACTCTCTTCTCTCAACTCTCTCTTACTTTCAGTCACTGTCCATTAATTTACATAGAAGTTCATATACATAGAATCATACAGTATGTATTCTTGTTGTCCTGGCTTCTTTCACACAGCACAATTGAGATTCATGAAGTTGCTGTCTGTACTACAATTTTCATTTGTAAGGACAGACCACAATTTGTTTATCTACCCACCTACTGATAGGCATTGTTGTTTACAAATAAAGCTGCTATGAATATTTACATATACTTCATTTTTCTTAAGTAAATATACTTAACAGAGGCATGGCTAGATCATAAGATAGATTTTAAGAAACTACCAAACTTTTCCAACATGGATATGCTGTTTTACTTTTCCAGTAGCAACATATAGGAGTTCTAGTTGCTCTGCATCTTTTTCTACACTTGGCCTGTTAATTTTTCCCTAATTTGCTACCTTGATGGTGGTGTATCTCTGTGTTGTTTCTTTTTTTTTTTTTAAAGATTTATTTATTTGTGCATACAGAACTGGGGTACAGGCCAGAGGCTCAGGGTGAGAGGATTCACCAGAGACAGAGTGGGGAACAGAACAGGCAGATCAACGAAGTACACTGCTGAGGGGAGCAGCAGGCGGGTCAGGAGAGGTCTGCCACGCCATGTGGTCTCCTCCGGGGCAGGCGGGAATCGAACTCATGCGGAAGCGGCTTTAGATTCTCAGTGCTGTGCTTTAACCCGCTGCGCCACCAGGGAGGGCCAGTGTGTTGTTTCTTTTTTAAAAAAGATTTATTTATTTATGCATGCAGAACTGAGGTACAGGCCAGAGGTGCGGGGGTGGTCTCTGGATTCACCAGAGACAGAGTGGGGAGCAGAACAGGCTGACTGACGAAGTATACTGCTGAGGGGAGTAGCGGGTGGGTTAGGAGAGGTCTGCTGCTCCATGTGGGTCACCTCTGGGGTGGGGATTAAACTCATGCTGAAGTGGCTTTAGCTTCTCAATGCTGTGCTTTAACCCACTGCGCCACCAGGGAGGGCCTCACTGTGTTTTTTAACTTGCATTTTCCTCATGGCTATAACACTGGTTGCCAGTCATGGGCTTATTTTCATAAGTGCATTTTCTTTGATGAACTGTCCAAATCTTTTATAAGTTAATCTTGGCATTTATCATAATTACCATTTGTGTTACTTTTACCACACTGTCAGGAGCAAGTCAATGTGCCTGGTCTTCATTCAAAGTCAGTGGGAAGGGATTATTATACTAAGTCTACTAGAGGCTGTCTTACACAGCTGGCTTCCCATTTTTCTTGGAACAAAATATAACTTCTACATCCTGGTCTACAAAATCCTGCCAGATCTAGCCTGTCTTTGCTATTGTTATTCTATGAGCATGCTGAGCTCTTTGTCCTTTTTCAGATCCTTAATATTTATTCTCTCTCCTTGGGATGCTTTTCCATCAGATTTTCTCAAGGTAAATGTTTCTTCTTTCAGTTTTCAGTTAAGTTACTTCTTCAGAAAAGACAGCTCCAGTCATTCTCCACAAGGCAATCTTCTAAGCTCTCCTTAACATGTCACCTATACTAACCTTTCTGTACTTTCTGATAGAACATGAGTTTCAATGTGACAGAAAACTAGTCTTATTCATTACTATATCTTCCAAATCCCAAAATAATGTTTTTTTATATGATAGATGCTTAATATTTATTGAATGAGTTAATGAATGAAATCTCCAAGGAGATAAGACAGATAGCATCCAGGGCATAGCTGAAGGAATTAAGCTTGAAAAACTTATTAAACAGTTCCTATCACTACTGTTATTAAACAAACAATACTAAACTTTAAAGCATAAAATAACAATCATTTTATTTTGCCCTTGGATTCTGCAGGAAAGAGCTTATTTAGAATCTCTGTTCCATAATGTCTGGGATGCTAACTTAGAAGTCTGGAAGGTTGGTAGTGACTTGATGGAGGGGGACTAGAAACACCTAAGGAGTCATTTCCTCACATATTTTTGGCTGAGATCTCAGCTTGGCCCTGCAACTGCTTGCAGGCTGTTTTCCAAAAGTAAGTATCCAAGAATATTAGGCAGAAGCCGCATTATTGCTTATTACCTATATTGGAGGAAAAATAACTTTTGCTCTCATCACAGATATGTCCATCTCCAAGGAAAGGGAAGACCAACCCCATTTCTTGATAGATGTGTAAATTCATATAGTATTTAGAACCTGTAGGGTGGGAGATACTTTTCCTGCTATTATTTTTCAATAATTCCAGATATACAACAGCCAGCTTTGGTGACATTCTTCCCTCAACCAATGGGAGAGAACAGAGATCACCAGCTTGGGTATGCAGAAGATTAACATTATGAGTTTTATAATCTTCAATATATTATGTTCAACTCTGTGAAAACAAATAGAAATATTTCCCAGTTATATTCTGCTGTCTTTTAAAGTCATGCTCAAATAATGTCATTGGGAAGCCTGGTGGCATTGGGTTGGTTAAGTTTTCCTGGCAGCAACTCATGTGCTGATAAAATTTCCCTTCAATTCCTCATTCTGAATTTTTCTAACAGGGCAAATCATTGTTTACTCTGAAAGCGGTTATCACTCAGGAGTTAATCTAAGCACTACAGGAGAAGTGATTTAGATTTTTAAAAACAAGCATTGAAAAACACAAAAACCCCAAAACATTTGTACAGATTTATTTTATAACAGATGGGCTTTTTGTTATACTATTAGAATTCTTTAGCACAGATTACCTGCTGTGGTTTGTAAAACTCATGGCTCTTATTTCTGTTAAATTTCTCCATTTTATATCCCTTTCTCCAGTGTTCTAAATACTTACTTTTTGATTTGTTTGATGAAATAGAAAAGAATCCTTTTGACTTTGAAGGATTCTGAATGCAAATAGCGGGCTTGGTTCCTAATAACACAATGGTATGTGCATGGGTGTTGTTAGGAATTCAAATATTTTGAATCCTTTAGTTATGTGTGTGAAAGAATCTATCCCATACCACTGAAAATATCTTCACAGTAATTATGGTGAGTATTAATATAAAGGATTTGAGGGACATTTTAAAAAGAGGAATATGGAGGGGAAAATTATGAGAGGAGATCACTTTACTACCTACTGTGTGCAACAACTGAGAGAGAAAAATGCAAATAGAGCAGACATAATTGCACTTACAATTTTATTAGAAAAGAAAAAAGAAATCACCATGCATAGCACAGTGAAACATAGTATGCTTCACATAGTGAGGTTCTAAGTAAGCACTACAGTTATGCTCAGAAGACACAACAATTTGGGTTGGCATAAACCAAGGTTCAGGGAGGTAATTCTTGAACCAAGATTTATTAACTTGCGAGGAAAAGTTTTCTTGTGTGTGTCTGCTTGTGCGTGTGTGTGTGTGTGTGTGTGTATGTAGGATGTAACTAAGAAAGTACAGGGAGGTAGGTCTTGAACCATGATTTATTAACATATGTGAGGAAAATCAGGGGTGAAGGTGAAGGGAGAGGATTGTGCTGTTACATTGTCTGGGAAGTGCCATAGCAACCAATAGGCGGAAACCAGACACCAAATGTCTTGCAATGCCTGGCACCGCTGTAAATAAAAGTTTTACTCCTAATGTCCTTAGAGCCCCATTAACAAGATGGTCCTTTAAAATCCTTCCAACTTTAACATTTTTGAGGATTTCGCTAAGCCTTGGGTCAAGAGGAACTATACAGTAGGTCAGGGGTTCCCAAATCCTGCACTCTCGCCCAGCCTCACATATACACAATTAATTCATCAATCAGGTTTTAATTTATATTTCATTTTTCAGAGATAACCCTTCCTGGTGCCCAATCCGATCTCGCTGTCTTAGTGTTGACTGTCAACCCTCCTCCACCACTCGATAAACCTCACGGCAGCATGGAACACTGCTATGAATTAAAGTCATGGCGGCACTCAGTAAATACTTTTGAAATAGAGAGAAAAAGAACTTCGGAATGCACAACCCGGACAAACGCGAACCCTGCCTGGGGCGGACGTCATCGACTGTAACTTCCGCCCCTTCCCTTGGCTCCGTCTGATTGTCTGTGTTCGTTTCCGGCGTTTCAATAAAGCTCGATTCGCTTCGAAGAAGACCTGTCCTTCCGGGAAAATGGCGACTCCCGCTCGTGTCCCGGAGTCCCCGCCGGCCGCGGATCCGGCGCTAGCAGTAGGGGCTGCCGCGGAAGCCGAGTGCCCACCGCCTCGCCATCCTCAGTCCCCGCAGAATGTCCTTGCTGCCCCGCGGCTTCGAGCCCCAAGCTCCCGAGGACTTGGGGCAGCGGAGTTTGGCGGAGCTGCAGGAGATGTTGAAGCGCCAGGGGAGACTTTTGCACAACGAGTAAGCTTGGGTCCTGCGAGTCACCGCCAGTCTCCTTCGGTTCGGGCCCCTGGAACGCGTCCTTCCCCTCCCCCAGCCCGTCCCTGGCCTGGAAGGTGACCTTGCCCGTGCCGGGGACCTTGCGTTCCCGGGGCCAGAGGACGGCCCACCGCCGAAAAGCCGGCCGTGCCCTGTCCAGACACCCGCCGCCTGTGGTTATGGCTCGTGTGCCGAACGGCTGGCTGCTTAGCGTGTCAGCTGCCTACCAATTTCTTTCTTTCTTTCTTTTAATATTTATCAGTTTCTCCTTTTTTATTTACTCCACTTTTTATTTTTATTCTTACCGTGTGGATTCCCTGAAGGGAAGGTTTGTATCATAAATCTGCCCCGAACCCCAAACAAATTTGTGATACAAATTGTGTGTATCTTGTTAGTTTCATCTCTAACTACAGTTTTTACCCGAATCATAGGAAATGCAAATAGAATAATATAAAGAGTAGTTTTTTTTTTAGGCCGAGAAAATCAGACCCCCATTCAGCTGGCAGATTTACAGATTTTAGCAAGGAAACACTATCATGAAAGTGATTTTTTAAGGAAGCTTTATTTAGCAACTTGATCCAAGGTGGGTTGAAGAAATATAAGAGAGCGAGGGCAGTAGTGGAGAATGTTTTCTGAGTATCCCAGTAAGAGGGTTTTTAAAAAGTTAGCTGGAAAGGTAGTTGTGGGATTGGGAAAACAATTCCACTGGTGGAATAATTTGAGTGTGTAGTTTACAGAGATGACTGAAGTTTCAAACCTGTCTGGAGAACTCAAAATAAGAAAAGTGGGAGAGGTGAATAAGCCCCCCCTTCAGTTTTACTTATGTGACTTGAGTTCATGGATCAGTTAATTCTATCTAGTTAACAAACTGGAGAAGTAGTCATGGGGCTCCAGAGAGAACAGAAGGCTGAGAAAATACAGGAATCTCAACCAGAGAGGGACGTTAATAATTGAAATTGTGGGAATGAATACAGTACCAGAGAAAGAAAGAACGCCTGAGAATAAACCTGAGATTACGTGGCTGAAGAAGAGCTGAACCTGAATAGGAACTTCTACCATACAGCAAAAGGACAAATAATCATTTGGAAGCTTTGTAGTAGAGACAAGTATTTTGAGGTTGTGAGAATGGATTTTTCAGTCTGTAACAGTGAATTAACTTTGGTCATTGGACCCCTCTATACTTTTAAGAATTATTGAACGTCTCTGGAATACTTCTTATTTGTGTGTTTTGTATATACTGGTATTGGTCAGTGTATTTGGAATGACAAGTGAGAGATCTGTAAAAGTAGACACATCCCATCAATGATTAGAACAATGATACCACATATAGTGGCCTCTGAAACACTCCTCTGTACCCAAATGAGAAAATGATAGTGCAAACAACTAATGTCTTAGTATAATGAAAATAGTTTGAACCTTGCAGACCCATCACCCTGCCCTCCTCATTAAGATTTTGGAGATAACACTTTAAAAATTGCTGGTGTTTAAATGTTCTTAATAATAACTATATGCTTTTAAAAAATGCTTTTGCTGCAATCTAACTAGATGAGACAAATTTTATTTTTCCTGCATCCCCTTGTTTTTTAAAGAGTTATCTGGATAGTGACTTTCTGTTTGGGGGCAGTTGGAAATCAGATTTCTTTTGGTTTAAAGGTTGACCTTTCTCCCTTTGAGGATAATGTTTTACCATTATAGCTCAAATTTTAAAACATGAGTCTAACGTACACATGTTCTTTTTCCACTTGACAGAAAATTCATTTGCAAATTGCCCGACAAAGGTAAAAAGATCGTAGACACTGTTGCCAAACTGAAAGCTGCCATTGCAGAACGTGAAGAGGTTAGAGGAAAAAGTGAACTGTTTCATCCTGTTAGTTTAGACTGTAAGCTAAAGCAAAAAGCAACTGCAGTTGTTGATGTGGACAAGGTCCACGAGCCTGACCAGATACTTGATACTTCCTCACTGGTTCCTGGCTGTTCCTCAGTAGATTCCGTTAAATCACCTGAAACAACCTCACAACAGGGACTTGTGCATCTTACTCACAAAGGAGAGGAAGAGGCTCCAGAGGTTGAGCACACAGTGAAGCAGTGTCCAGCTTCTGGCAGCAGAGCCAGTACTCGTTCTTCATCTGAAGTCCCTCATCATCTCCCTCATTGTGTGTCAAATAAAGCAGAAGATCAGTCCAGCAACTCTGACAACCTGTCTGATAAGTTACAAAGGATCACAATTGCAGACCCAGGTGAAGACCACTCAGGAGAAAACACAAGCACCCACAACTTGATGGGCCTTTGTAGTGGGAATCAAAAGAAGCCTCACTATATGGAAGTGCTAGAAATTCGAGCCAGAAATCCAGTGGCCCCAACACATAAATTTAAAACTAATGTGTAAGTACTTTTCGAAGTAGGCTTTTCCGGGGTCATGACTGAGAGCGAATGCTCTAAAGTTCAGTGGGTTTTGTATGAGAATTACTTGTAGTTAGGATTGAGCATCTTCTAGAGAAACTAGCCTGACTGGAAGGAAGGAGTCTTGTTGAAAAATACTTTAGTCTTTTTAGACAAAAATTTGAAAATGTTTCAATAGCATGCGGAGTATTACATTTCAGGGTATTTAACCAATATTTCATAATAAACACAAAAAGACATGAAGTTTTTCAGAACCTCATTTGGTGAGATAATAATCTAAAGTCAACACGGTTACAGAGGTGATGGGCGTTCTCAACAAAAGTATGTGTGTGTGCTCACATATGTTAAGTAGCAGATGCTGTGGTGACACTAGATGAAGACTTAAGGCTTACACACTTGGAAAAGCAAACTACATATGAACAGTTTTGGGGGAAGGAAGCTGAGAACAGGTTATTAGAACATTCAGGCAGTGTGTGCAAACTAATCCTATTCTAAAATCATGTTTGTACTAAGAGTACTCTTGGAAGAGGGAAGACTTGTCATTGTTGCAAATGTGACATTCAAGCCCTATGCTAACAACTGGTTTCTTCTTAGCTTTATAAGTAGGTAGAAAGATATAAAATTGGAGTACTATTGCCCTGCTTTGAAAAAATGGAGGTAACTATTTGTTGCTATTTCTCTAGCTAAACACCTACATTTTTTAATTGTTAAGACAAACTTTAAAGTTTATTCATTTTTTTAAATCTCAGACATTTCTGTATAGAAAAGCAGCACTGTATTACTTAATTATGTAGGTAAGAATAAAAGGTAACTTTTGAGGGCCTTCCTTGGTGGTACAACAGGTTAAAGTGCAGCACTGTAACATGACCTGCAGCCACCGCAGACTGAGTTCAATCCCCGTCTGGGGAGTTGATCCACATGGCACGGCAGACCTCTCTTGACCCGCCCACTGCTCCCCTCAGCAGTGTATTTCAGTTAATCTGCCTGGTCTGCTTCCCCACTCTTTCTCTGGTGAATCCTCTCACCCCCCACACCTCTGGCTTGTACCCCAATTATGTATGCATAAATAAATAAATCTTTAAAAAAACCCAAAAACCTAAAGGGGGGAGAGTAACTTTTGAATCACGCAGTCTCCTGTGTGCAGTGAATTATCTTTCCTCACTTCAAGGAAGACATTTTAGAAAACCATAGGCCTCATTTAGTCAATAAATACAACAGAATATACAGATCCTGGTTCTGAATTACTGTCTTTTAGCCGAAAGTGGGAGGAGATAAGTGAGCACAATGATATATATATAAGGGTTTAGGAAATTTAAGAGAGAAAGCCTTATGTGCTGTTAGGCAAATCAGAAAAGACTGGACTTTAGTCATTCAGTAGGCCGTAGGGATTGAAGGGATTGAGCAATAGGAAGGAATTGAAAAGAATGAGGTAGTGTCCGTTGGTTCCGTTTTGGCTGGTTCTATGTATCACCTGGGTGCTAGAGACAGGCCCTCATCTATCTTTAGCCCAGAACTCCCCAAAATTTCAGATTTGCATGGTCAGTTACTTGTGAAATGTGACTAAGGTATTCCTTGGTCCCCTGGGTTTATCATGTTAAAGATTCTATTTTCTAACTGAATTTCTCCTATATTCCTTAAGTTCATAGTGCTATCAACTCCTTTCCCACTCACCCCTCTAGGGTATCTTTCTTTTCCCTCATCCCCATTATCTACTAGCCATAAAAATCTAGGTAAAATATTTTCTTGACTTGACAGTCAAGAAAATATTCTAATACTCTATTCATTATTCCTCCTGTCAACATAAGGATTCATTCCTCACTGTTCTGGTCTATAGTCTTTACCAGTTTTTCCTCATTGCTGCTGTCAGTGAAAGTTGTACAATGTAGGTCTGAACTTTGTAATTCAGACTAGAACCCTTCACTGTCATCTGGACCCAGCTACTTCCCAGCCTTTTCTGTCCTCTTTCTCCTGTTCTTCTGTGTGCTGTGGCCATGGTGTTCCTGACCCCCTGCTGGGATGCCTTTCCCTTATTTACATGGTGGGCATTTATTCCAAGACTACACAAATTTCACTCTTTCTGAAGCTTTTCTGACAACTTTTTTGTCTCCCATTAGAACTGGCCCTTCTTTATGTTCCATTGTACGATGCAGACTTCACAAGTTTATTTCATTCTGCTGGACTATAAGCCTCTTTGCAATGCTTTTTGAATTAAAAAAAAAATGAGAAGGTGATCAGTTCAAGTCTAAGGTTTGAAGAAAGAAGGAAAAGGCAAAGAGCTTTATCTATACCTGTTATCTGTTAGAGCAGGGAACGAATTGTTAAATTATTCTCCATAAGGGTGCCAGCTTATCTATGCCACTTTTTAATGTACACCATTTGTAATGTAAATGTGTTAATATTTCTATACCATTTGTAATGGAATTATATTAAAAAAGATTTTATCTGCAAATGTAATGTTAATAAACTTATTTTAGAAAACTGCTAAGGCCTTTGATACATGTGAATGTGGGTTTATAAAAAGAAAAAGTCTGTCATTATAACTTAAATTTTCTGTTCCTCAGATTACCTTCTCAACAAAATGATTCATCTAATTGTCAGAGAAGAGGGTCTCCTGTTTCCATAGAAGAAAGACGACGCAGAGATAGGAAGCATCTTGATGATATTACAGCAGCTCGACTTCTACCACTTCACCACATGCCTGCACAGCTGCTCTCCATAGAAGAATCTTTGGCACTGCAAAAGCAGCAGAAACAGAATTATGAGGTATTTAGTGTTAATTGCTTCTTGTCGGTATGTTGGTTACTGCTTACATGTACCCCAGCTAGTTCTAGGAGGAAGGGGTTATGTGCTAGAGAAGTGATTGCTTACTTCCCTTGGCTCATGGATGTGTGTCTCTGGTTTTAGAGTATTCCAGAATTGCTGGAACTGTAAGAAATGCTGGAGATGAGCACAGGTATCTTCAGTTTCAAAGTGGTGATATGCCAGGAAATGTGAGGAGACTGGTGTAGAATTTCACATCCTTTAAAGTCTGTGCTGTTTGGGTAGCAGTATTACTGCTTTTCTGTCACCTTGTAAAGTGAGGACTTTTTAGTGGTGAAATGTAACCTAGAGTCTGCGAAGAGAATTGGAGTAATGTGGCCTCCACCCTTCTATCTCCCATAATACAATATTAACAAATGGGTGAACAGTATTATGTTCCCAACATTTAGACATTAGACTTTAAAGCATAATTACAGAGGAGTCTCTTATTTTTGGTGACTTAATGCATTGTATGGCACTTTCTCCATAGAGCTGTGTGTTTTGACACATTTGTGTGTTGGCAGTTTGTACCCAGAATAATGGGAAGGGCAAAAATAAGTGTAAGGCCCATAGGTAGCAAGGGGTTCTTTATCCTTCGTAATAATTTACGTCTCCAGGAAAAGAGCAGCCTGTTTTCACTTTCTAGGAATTGCTCAGCTAGATTTTTGTCAGATATTGTGTACCAGTTAATACAGTATTGGCCATTTTTTTCATAGTGGCTCAGTTGGCATGGGTTAGCATTTTCTAGACATACCTTTTTTAAAAGTTTTTTTTTTCTTTCAGTACATTAAAATTGCCTAGTTATGAGTACAGCTTTGAGAAGTTGTTTTTTAATTGCCTGTAAGTCTTAGGTTGAACTCAACCCTTCAGTTTGAAACTAGTTTTCTTAGCATAGTACTAGTAACAGTGCTTTAGTCATATCTGTAATATTCGTGGCCTAAGGAGAAAGATAAAGAAGTTGTAGTGATATGGAAAAAAGCATGGGAAAAGTGAAAAGATGAATTAGGAATGAGTATTTCCAGCTGCCGTCCATTGGGTGAACATGAGTACTTGGGCTGTATGTAAGCCCATTACCGGTGTCCGATATTTACTTGGCCTTTTTGTTGTGTAATAATTTCTGTGGGACTCTTTTGGAGAGCTATGGTCAGCATTTTAGAATTAATTTCTTAAATTTCACTGTTACATTGAAATGTAATGCTCAAGCCTACTGGTCATGATTTAATCCAAAGAACAACATTTGTGATTTCTGACATTTGATAGCTGTAGGTTCAGAGCAGGTTCTCTATGGATTTGGACAGACAGGTAAAAGGAGAGTCCTGGAGCCCACAGTGGCTTTTTCAGGCTTTTAACGATCTTTCTGCACCATTTGTAGTGAGGCAGCCAGGTGCAGGGCAGGTGGGGGTGAGAGGCTGGCAAGCCCCCTGCAAATCTTTCCTCTTTCTGGGCTCACAGGTATTTTCTTGTGGTCTCTTCTCTGGTCTCTACTGCTGCATGGTCCTCTGCTGCTCTTTTGTGTCTCCTGCCACGCTCAGATGTTCTGTCTCTTGGCTTCCGTGCTTTTGCACGTGCATACCCTACTCCCAGCTGCCATCAGGCACGCTGGGAGCCCACAGGTCTTGCTCACTGATGCTCCTGGCAGGAGGGCAGAAAAGACCTGATCACTTCCATTTACCCTATAATAGCTCAGATTGTTGGTGTGTGAGTACGTACATACATGAGGTGCCTATCCATGGTGTAGTGTAACTGCTATGTGTATTGTAACTGTTTTAGTGCTAAACAGATTACTGTTTCTTGTGTAGAGGTGGGTTATTTCAAGGTCTTCTTGTTTATGAATGGAAGTCTGTAAAACAGCTGTGACACGACTGTAGCCCTCAGCAGTATTGTCGTTTTGTGCCATCAGGCTCTGCAGAGAGCATCAAGTGGAATGTTAGTGCTCTTTTATTTTTAATTTTGCTTAAATGACTTTCCCATTGAAAAATTGTAGTGAAAAGATGTGAATATGTTATTTCTGTTTTGCCTTTTGTTTTAAAGGAGATACAAGCCAAGCTCGCAGCACAAAAACTAGCTGAAAGACTGAATATTAAGATGCAGAGCTATAACCCAGAAGGGGAGTCTTCGAGGAAATACCGAGATGTAAGGGACGAAGATGATGGTCAGTCTTCTGATGATGAATTCTGAAGATGGGCATTGGGATAACCTCTATATCTCTCCCTGTTGAGATGTTATCATCTTACATCACTTTTCTAACAAGTATCAAGATTGATGTCAGACATTGTTGAAGGAGAGAATTTTATAATGCTATATAAAGATAGCTTTAAAAAAATAGCCCAATTTGTCTTTCAGAAGAGAACTTTCATGTGCTTGTCAAGTTTATTATTTCAATATTGTGTTTAACCACAATTGTATTAAAGTTTTGCAGTATGTTGTGTGTTGGTGTTATATTTTAGTATAGTAGAGTACATTTTTTTCTTTAAGCCAAATGAAAGCAGGTAACTGCATTTCCCCTTGTTTTCACTTCTTTCAAGCTGCCTTTCAGTGAAATATTTATAGGCACCACCTAGAAGAATTAGAAAGATATAGTTCCCTCCTATTTTGAATAATGTGGGAGCATTCTAGAGAATTTTATGCATGTTTGTATGGGATTACAGAGGTACTGGACATGAAATATAGGAAGACACTTACAGAAAACTGTTTAACAAATATTTGTTTCCTTTGTCTTCCCTTGGAAAGGATGCTCTCTTCTGATTAGGAATAAAGAATGCTTTTAGTAGATGCTGGAGGATGGGCAGTCTTTCAGATGACTAAATTTTCCCAGAGTAACATAAGGTAGAGGATGACAGAAGTAAGCAAAAGTAGTAGCTATTCTAGTGTTAGGCGTGACTTGAATTCGTCGAATTTGTAACAGATGAGAGGTACACTGACAGTACATTATAAGATTGATTATAAGATAGGTCAGCCAAAGCTGCTTAAAGCTATAATTGATAATTTATAAAAATACTGCTTTTCCCCCCTCAAAAGAGGCTTATGGAGGCGGTAGAAACCTTAGTCTCCTATAAATACATGTTTATGTAATTTAAAAGGATTATATGGTTGTCTTCAGAGAAGTTAATATTTATGTTATCAAAGATTTCTTTGTCCAGTATGTTGGAGCTTTTAAAAGTGTTAAAAGAATAAAACGTTAATTAGAGCTACTTCAAAATGTTAATGATTCTATTTTACTATCCCTTAATTAAGCTTCTTACTTTAAAATAGACTGTTCATATATTAAATTTGAATGAAAATACATTTAGGTAAGATGTACCTGTTAAAGACTCAGTTCTAGATCATCTATTTCCAGGTGTAGCCACTGACTTCCTATACCTCTTCCCCGGTCTCCAAAATAAAAAGCAAAATTAAAAGTAGGCTGAGCTAACATTTTCTTGGATTTTAGTTTTTAAAACTAGTGAGTTTCATAAAATTATTTGATGTTCTTTATGGAATGAAATAGTATTTTTGGAAAGTTGGATATATCGAAGGTCTCACAGTCTCCTGTAATCCTACCACCTAAATCCATCCTTCCACCCAGAAAGAGCTGCTGTTAGCTTTAGGTGTATGTCCTTTAACTTTCCTGTGTATAATTCTATATTTATATTTTTTAAATAATGCACTCACTCGCACATTGGTATAGTCTGTTCTATAGATTGTAAACTTTTCCATATTAAATATTTTGCATTTTAGATAGCTGCAGAAAATCCCATTATAAATTATAACCACATAATGGAATAATATAGTAAGTAACATATAACTTACTATAACAGGTGTATGTAAGTTTTGAGGATGTTGCTATTCATCTCTTACCTCAACATAGTATCTCTTTATATAGTCTATATAGTCTATAGTCTGTATAGCAATATATCAAGCTCCTAGAATTGAAAATTAACAACTTAAATCCTTTGCCAATTGAATAATCACGGGCAAGGATTGCGTTAAGATTTGTATTTGATTACTTAGGGAAGATTGAGGTTTTTTTAATATACATTTTCCATTTTTGTTCATTTTGAACATTGCTTATTGCTTATTCATGAATTTGCCATTTTTATTGGCTTATAAATTCTTTATGAATTAAGATGTTTATATCTTTTTTTCATGTGTTATATATTTTTTGTGTGCCATTTGTCTTTTAGTACAGTTTGTGTTTTGGTGTAGAGAAGGTTTTCTTTGGCAGTCCAACTTCATAGGGGTGTGGAGCTTGCCTTCTGTATCCCAAGGATAGCTGCATAACATTAATCCTTATATTCTTTTAGTATTTTTTAAAAAACATTTTTTTACCTCTTAATTCAAAAGGTAATTTCTAGTCCATCTTAGATTTATTGGGGGTTTGGTAAGAGGTTTAAAATTTAAAATTAAACCTACCTCTTACTTTTTGTCTCTCAGAGGTAACTACTATCCTGGCTTTATGGTGATACTTCCCCCTCTTTAAAAAGTGGTTCTATCAGTTATGTATACATAAACATGCCTGCTTTTGACTTACAAAAATGAAGTTATACTTGACATTGTGTCTGATGCCTTCCACTTGATATTGCATATAAGATTCATGTTATATGTAGGTATGCTGTATTCATTTTCATTGCTGTGTAATATGCCATTTCATGAATACCAGCTGTTTAGCTATTCTACTGTGATGGGTACTTGGATATTTTCACTTTTGGGTTCAGACTGCAATGAGCATGATTTTCATGTACATAAACACATTTCTGTAGGTTAAATAAGGAGTTTGGTTGCTATATTACAAGGTATGCGTATCTTTAATATTTTATATACTCCTGCTCCCATCCAACATGTAAATAATACCGACACTTGGTATTGCCAGACTTTTAGTCAGTGTGATCTATTTATAGTTGACAGGTTTAATTTTGTATTCCCTTAATTAGGAATTGCATTGAACATCTTATTTATTGTTACTGGATTAATTCTTTTGAGAACTTCCCATTGAAATCTTTTGTCCATTTTTTTGTTGTGTTAATGTCTCACTGATTTGTAGACTATATTCTTGGACAATAATCTAGTTACATTTATTGTCAGTATCTTCTCCCTGTTTTACTTTGCATTCTCTTCATAGCTTTTAGTGAACAGATTCTTAATTTTAATTGGAAGTATATCTTATGTTTACTGTCTTATTTTAAGGACTCTTACCTGAAGTCGTGAAGATATTTTCTTTTAGAAATCTTTTTTGTTAAAAATGCTTTGTAATTTTGCCATTTCCATCATGTCTGATTCCTATGTGAAGAAGGGTTTTTTGGATGGCCACTTGTCAGGTACTAGTCAGTACAATTTCTGCCATCTGTTAAGCTTCTGAATATACCTGTGTAAGTTCCTAGGTTCTCTCTTTCATTCCACTTATCTGTTTTGGCTAATATTATAACACTATGGTAGCTGTGTACTAAGGCTGCAACAATGCTTGCCATCCTTTGCAAATTTCCACTTATTCTCAAAGAGATGTTTGATATTTGTCATTAATTTCAGTTCTAAAACTCTGTACTTTGGAACTTTAGTGCAGTTTGGAAACTTGCCAGATATAAACTTAAGCATACTTATTCTTTCAAATAATAAGGGTTTTTAGCTTACAAGTTTAAGTTCAGAAAACTTAGTGTGAGTACCAGAGTATTGTGTATTTTTTATTTAGATTTAGCAAATGAATTTTTGAAATACCAAACTTAGGTTTAAAAATAGGATGATGGAGTAAATGTGCACTCTTGAACTCATTCACTTGTCAAGTGTTTTTAAAGCCCAAATTCAGCCTTGATTTGTGGCATTTACATGCAAGTGCTAAAGTTTGGGTCTTAACTTGAAACTGTGGAGGAAATTATGGGGATTAATCTCATTATACAATAGTCATCTATAGAGTAATAATTTTTTTAATTTTCATAGGATCTGTCTCTAGTCCATGTCACATTTCCTGGGGAGTCAGGAGCTGTGAGTTGATATGGAGGGTAGATAGCTTTTGGAACCTATTTCCTCAAATTGGTATGTTGAGAAGATAGCTCAAGGTCACTAATAAGCAGCCAAGAAAAGAACCCAGTGCTCAGGATTTCTGGGCACTGGATTACTTGGCCTTGCATGTAAATGCCACAAATCAAGGCTGAATTTGGGCTTTAAAAAGTGCTAATGCTAGGCAAGAACTCAGGTTACTCTAGCGGTATTTATCATTTCTGTTTGACTTACTGATTATTTGTGTGATAGTTTTTGTATTTCAAATATTTTGTTTTTAGAATCACATTAGAACTATGTGACCGTATAGGCCACTGCTAGAATCTTCACCTCTCTCATGATAGTTGGCTACATAAACTTTTCAGAAGAGACTCAAGGAAAGATGATACAGGTATCATAGGTTTTAGTCAGAGAATGAAGTAAAATCTGACAGTCACCTTTGTAGGCAGAATAACAGTTTGAAACACTGAAAGTAAAATTATAAGGGAGGAGGGGATGATTCTCTGTATAGGGAAAGTTGAGAGTGCAAGAGCTACATAAATAAAAGGATCATATATCCAGCCTTCTTTTTATGGGGAGCACGTAGAGTCATCTAAAAAAATGTGGCAAATTGCATTATTAACTAGCTTCTTGACAGGGAGGGGAAACTTAAAGCTATTATTTTAATTTCTGGCTAAAGTGAGGAAGCTTTGATATTGGGCCGATGAAATAAACCTAGTGCTGGATAATACTGAACCAGAGCCAGACCACAAATCAGAAGTGATTCTGAAAGCACAGCATAAAAGCTTGAACAATTAAATATGATCTATTACTTCCCAGATGATTTTAGAAAAGTTGGAATTAAAAAAAGGTGAAAAAGAGGGAAAGCCACTGGAATAGCATTAGATGATTAGATTTAGGATTTAAATGCCACTATTTCCTTTGAATCCACTGGGAAGCCATGTACTTTCATGACTAAGACTGTAAGATGAGGTCAGTGACCCCTTATCTAATGTAAGGAGTATGTTTTGAGAGAACAACATTTCAAAGTGGGCTTTATAGAGCACTTTGAGGTCTAAAAGAGATTCTGTATGAAAACCGTATTGTAACGATGGTAACAATTATGAGTGAAGCAGTTTAAGGAGGTACCTTCTGGCATGTGAAGTAAAATCTTTAAAATCACCACCATATGAACTTTTAATTTAGTGTTAAAATTAACTGAGAACAATTGTGAAGTTCTTTAAAAAGGTATTTTGACAAGGGGAAATTAGGACACAAAGCTAAGGAGAGACCGTCATATGGAAGAATTTCACATTATTGAAGCAAAAGAATGAAAGTTGTAAATCAATCTGGTATGCAGCTTTATATAGAATTGCGCCTTTAAAAGATGGAGACTCAGCTTGGTGCTTGTAAATTTTGTCTGAAAATATTGCTAGTAAATATATCAGTTCTTTTAATCACTACCACATATATGTGTATTGAATTAGTTTTTCTAGGGCTGGTGTAGAAACGAAACCATACCTTCTATTATTATTTAGATTTTAATAATAAAAAGTCTTCTCCCTTCAGCTACTTTAAGTAGCGTGAAAATGAAATACATTAGGAAACTGACTATAGGAGGCAAATCTTATCGCAAGTTGGCACCTTTAGTTCTTAAGGAAGGAAGGGAACCTAGTTATCTCGTTCCACATACTGTGAGAAAACAGGCTCAGAGAAACGTGGAGACTAGCTTATGGTTTTATGCACAGTGGACTCTGACAGAGCCAGCCTTTTCAACCTCAACCTCTTTGCTTAGGAGTATTTACTTATAATTGACGCTTCTTAACCAAGAAACCTAAACCTGCTCACTGGTCGCTGGTGTAAAGAAAAGGAATTTATCTGAGGACAACTAAAGAATCCCACTGAAACCCACCCAAGTGGGTTCAACATTGCCTCACCTAGAGGGTTTATATACACAAAGCACAGGTGGGCTAGTCCTCACGCAGAGCCGTTATGCAAATTAGGCTTGAGGTTGCTCTAGGTGGATTGGTGCAAATTCGGTAGTCGAGCTGCGATTGGTGGAATTTCAACCCTGGTCTGTGGCTCTGGAGACTGTTTTCTCGAGGTTTCTTTCTGGAGGCGGCTGTGTCTGGCCATGCTAGCTGGGCATGGCTGGTTCTGACTAAGCTTTGTTTTAAAATTTATATTTAAATTAATTTCTTATCATTCTTAACACCTTTTTTCAAAAACAGAAAAAGCACTGTGCCAGAAATCTATTTTCTAATTTTGAAACTACAGAATTTTTTTCCCCAGTCAACTGTTGCGACTAGGTTCACTTACTATACTTTTTTGAGAAATACAGATGGTTTATGCGCTGCCCAAAATTTATAAGTGTGACCCTATTTTCCCTTTTCACTGATGGACTTGGTCTATTTTTTAATTGTGTCCCAAAGATCCACTTGTAAATCTTTGCCACAGCATTTTCACCATGTAAAACTAACCCTAAGACTTTTGCCATAAAGAAATGTAAAAATCACCAGATTCTGTGTCAAATACTAAAATGCTGCCCATAAAAGGGCAGAAAGGGCCAGGCAAGTCTGGGAGGGAACGAACAAAATCTAAGTATAAATCAAAATAGCACCTGCCATTGTCAGCCTCTCCACCTGTCTCTCACCCACTTTCTCTTCCAAGTACCCCAAAGTCCTGGAGCAAGCCCCCAAACTGAAAAGCAAGCACACCATTTTTCTTCACACGCCCCTCTGTTTCTTTCCAACTTGCTCCCCTTCCTGTGTTTCTTCTGGTTCTCAAGCCTCCCCTGACTGCCCAGGGGAGCCCTCATTAGATGGGGCAGAGGACATGGAGCCTCACTTTTTAATGAAATGTTTCAGTTTTATATTAAATTAGCCAAAGTAGTAATAAGTAACACTCTCAAAGAGATCCCTAGTCCCCTTTTATATTTGCCATCGTTTTATAACTTGTTTTTTCAGGGGGGAGGGGAGGAGGGAATGATTATGTTCCCCGAAGTTATTTGCAAACTCACATTTAATCATTTTCTAGTATCGAATGAAATCTGGGCTGAGATTTATATAATACGAAAATGAGAGTACCGTGTCAATTGAAACCAAACCTCAAACTCTCGACCAGTTATTTTTAAGGTTTTTTTTTTTTTTTTTGGTAACCGCGAAGTTGCTTTACGGCTGATTAGTTTTGCCGCAAAAATGGTTAACTTACGGCAGAGAACTTAGAACCCTCTGCAATGTGTGCCCTCTCTCAACACCTCTCCCTTACAGTCTTCCGACGTTTGGCTTCCAGGGACCTGACAAAACCTCTCAGCCACCCTCTGTGACGCATCTGTTTTCTGGCACCTCCTAAGGTAATTCGGGTCTCGGAGTCTGAATATTATTGCCCGGAGCTATTAGCTTCATTAATAAAAATCCGGGAAGTGTGGTTGGTTCCGTGAAGCACTTCCACTTCAGAGGAGCAACCCCCTCCCCCTTAAATTCCATTTAAATTAATATGGTAAGGTCATGTCTGACTAGAGCAAGAAGCAAGTTAAGTTTTATATCTTCCAGTATATTCTCTCTTTCTGGGAACAAAGAACCCAATGACTGCTCCGCCCTGTTCCCCGGATGTCTCCTCCACCATCCTAGGGCGGGTCACGATTCTTCCCTTCTGTGCAGTTGACAGTCTCTGCAACCTGTGCCTTCAAGTGAGGCGTTAGCTGGGGATGATCAGTGCATCTTCCTCACCTTACTTGGGGATAAAATCTTGGATTTCGATAGCCTGTTACTAATGATCATTTCTTAGATTGCCTCGTGTATGGCTTTTGAATCATTTAAAAATGGTGGTCCAATGTCACTGTCTAGGGGTGTCGGGACTGCTCTTCAAAGTTCCCACTTTTCCATTTCCTCTGGCTGTGAAATCTGGATAGTGGCAAACAAGGCCACTGGGGGTTCGAGGAGAGAAACTGGATGATGTGTGGTTTCTGCTGGAACTGTAACCTCTCTGAAGGGCATAATAAGAATCTTACTAGTATGAGATTCCCTCAGATAATTTATGGGCAAAAGGAAACTAATTGTACTTTGAAACTTTATTACTATAGTAACAGGTACTTAGAATGCCCCACAGCTATTGACTGAGGTGTGTTTTAAGACACAGTGTGGCCCTTGGGTGACATTGGTCTAAACACTGACCTCACTGTTCTGTATCACTTCAGTATACTATTTGCCGTTGCTTCATAAGGTTTTTATTTTTTTCTTTTGGGGTGGGGTGGGGTTTACTTTGCAAACCCATATTTTTATCATTTTCTAGTTTATTGCACAGTGGGACATTTCAGATTTGCAAAAGGTGAGGGTCAAAAGTAGGTTATGGGTAATGACAGTGTTCATTGTCTTTTTCCTCCTGTTATCTGTGAACACCATGATTTCCTTTATGCGAAAAAATCCATTTATCTGTTAAGAGTTCTTTGTTAAAATACATCCTGAAGACAGCAAAACATCAATACTCAGTAATTAATATCTCAGTGTATGTCAGTTTATTATGTGATGTTTTGTGAAGGAAAGTAGCGCTTAAGGGAGTGGGAAATGGAGCAGGCATGTTCTTGGGGTGGGGGAGCGAAGGAGGAAATGGAAAATGCAGAAGGCGGGTCTCCCTGGTGGCACAGGGGTTAAAATCTCACAGCTGTCTAGCTATTGCCAAGGAGCGAATCCACATAGAGAAGCTGACCTCTCCTGTCACGACCCCCCTGCTCCCCTCAGTTGTGTATTTCAGTCAATCTGTCTGTTCTGCTTCCCGCTCTGTCTCTGGTGAATCCTCTCACGCCCACACCTCTGGCTACACCCCAGTTCTTGTGTGCATAAATCTTTAAAATAAAAAAAAGAAAATGCAGAAGAAGGACAAGGACAGGAGGCAGGTGTGCATGAGCCTCGTGCAACCAAGGGGCAGCAGGGAAGCATTTGGCATGGTTGATCACTCCTCCATCCTGAAGCACTTTTCTCTTGGTTTCTAGAACACCACTCAGATGCCCGCAGTGAGCACTTCCTCTTAGTCTCCATTGCAGATTCCTTCTACCTCCCTGATCGCTCACCATAGAAATGCCCAGGGTTATATCCTTGAACGTCTCCATCTATGCTCATTTTCTTGGTGACCTCATCAGCCTTGTGGTGAATAGCATTAATACCTGATGACTCCCTAACTTACATCTTTAGCTCAGATCTCAGCCCTGAATTATATACAGTTACAACAAAGGTGAACAAAGACAGTCCTGGGCTCCTTGACCAGGCATAATGATATATGATGGTGGCAGTGGCAGTAGAATTCCTGTTTTGTTATTAATACATATTCCTGGTCAAGTAACTAGAATTTTGGGCTTTGAAGTTTCCAGTTTCTAAATTGAGAGATTTGCTCCTAGAATGTGTCTTAAAACAGAAATCCTGGGGAAAATGGGATTTAAACGACCATGTTCTAAAGACCTGTGATGACCTCTTGCCTGCATTGTTGCAGGGTCTTCCTATCTGGACCCCAGCTTCTGCCCTTGTCCACACTACAGTGGAATCTCAACACAGCACTAGGCAGGGATTTTCAAAGGAATTATAAAATCATTTCTCTGTCCAAATTCCTTCATTGTTGCCCATTTCACTCAAAGTTAAATCTCACATTCTCATGAAGACCTACCTGGCTCCCAGGGGCCACACTAGCTTCCTTGCTGTTGCTGTAAAAATCCAGAGAGCTCTCACTAGGACCAACATAACCTGTGCTGTCTGTTTTGAATGTTCTATCCTCATACTCCAGTGGGAACTGTCCCTCTTTTCCTAAAAGTATCTATTAAAATATCACCTTATTAGGGATGTCAGTGAATATAAAATAACACCCTATTGCTGCTTTATTTTTCTCCACAGAATTCTGTTTTTTTTCCTTTATTGACTGAATTCTACTAGGTTTTTTATTTGTTGCTATATGTTGATTACTGAATAAATGAATGGAAGGTGGAGAACAGAGGGAGAGAGGACTTGGGGTACCATGCTCTATACATACCTGTGTATGTGTAGAGGCCTGAGTATCTTTTCACTTCCATATATTATAAAAATGCCTAACCCTTCATAGTGTTATTTGGACAAAATTTCACATCTATGGTCTTTCTGAATTCTCATCCATGACCTGGGAGATATTACTATATCAAGTTTTCCAGAGGAGGAAACTCGGTCAGTGAGGTAGTGATTTTCTCAAGGTCACACACTATTAAGACCTGCATCTGGTTTTTCTAAGCCAATTGCCCTTTTCAGTTTCCCATGTTGTCTTTCCTATTTGCTCTGTTTGCTTGAATTCCAGACATCAGTTCCTACTTTTCACTGGGGGCTGATTATAGAATGGGAGAAGAACCCTATATTGTGTCAACAGAACCTTCCACAGGCTTAAGGGTGGTCCTGGCAGCTGCACTGGTAAGTATGCCTTTCATAGATATGTTCCTAGTGATAGAACAAAATGGACAGCTGAGGGCAGATATGTGGAA